GAAATTGTGATGCAGCCGATGCCTTGGTAATTCCGTAGTTAGCTGAAAGGAGCAAGACATTGGTTCCTTCTCCCCCTAGAGACGTTTGTAAAGTACTTAGCCGTCCCCGGCTCTGCAACCAGAATCCCAATCACTGCTTGCAGCTAAGTATATCATGGTCTGGGGGTGGAAAGAAAGAAAGAAAGAAAGAAAGAAAGAAAGAAAGAACTACGTTACCAGGTAGCATCTCCCAACCACCACCTTAAGAAAATGGCACACCTGTTTTTGCTTTAGAACAATGAACCACTCCACATTAGAGCAAAAAAAAAAAGGGGGAGGGAGGGGGAAGAAGAGAGAAAAATCTTCCAAACCTCTGACCATTTAATAAAAGAGGCACAAGGTCCTAGCCTCAAGTTAAGGAAAGAAAAATTTCACCGTAAGGTGATAAATTCAGTCTTCCTAAGCAAAGGCACAGGCCGTATCAACATTGTGACAGCTCTTGGTAGGCAATCCATGCTGTAACATTGATAATGTATCACGGCGACGTTCATTCATTGCCTTCAATTTACAGTGTGGCGGTTAACAAGCAAAAGAGCATCAGACATAAAACAGCTGAAATTAAACCTTTTAAACAAAGTAAGCAATAAACCCATATGCGAAGGCTTCCTGTAATAACATCAGCCTTAAATATCTGTCTTTGCTTCTAATATTTTAACGGACCTAATTATTCTGCTAAACAGGTCTCAGCCGTGATGCAATGTTGTGTATTTGATTACTAGTCCTCTACTGCAAGGAGTCAGTCTCTTTGGCAGGTTTTTACACTTTGAAGGTGCTGCTGTCAGTGACAAAAGCCTATCTGAACACAGGGGATGTTCAAACGGGGTGTCACGTTAAGAAATTGGAGAGTGTAAAAATGTCAAAACCAGCTACTTCCTCCTCAGTAATGGTTATTCATAGATTCTAGGACTGGAAGGGACCTTGAGAGGTCATCGAGTCCAGTCCCCTGCCCGCATGGCAGGACCAAATACTGTCTAGACCATCCCTGATAGACATTTATCTAACCTACTCTGCATACGCAGTCTATTAAATTTGGTCCTCCTGGGTCCCAAAACGTTGTTAAAGGGATAGCACCAGATTCAGATACACCTTACATTTCTATTTCTTAGAAATAGTTTCTATTTTTAAAAATTAGTCAAATGGAATCACTTCTGATAATCTGATTTTTAAATAATTAGGGCCAAATTCTGATCTAAGAACCACATACACACACAAGCCAGTAATAACAAGCAGCATTTACCTACTTATGCACCTAAAAAATGCTCCAGAAAGCAATATATCTGCCTAGTTTTCTTCTTCAACGGTAATCTTGCTTGACTCCTTTTTTTCTCCTTGCTGTGACTTGCCTATTTCAACACTATTTAGAACTCCATAGAGAATGGCAGTTTGTTCTTTATATCTCCCTGCTTTTCTGAGCTTCTGCAATTTGTTTGCAAACCTTAGCATAGGTTATTGTGCATCTACCCAGTCTCTTCTGATGGGGAGGCAATGTCAAAATTGGAGATATTCACTAAAGTCCTATCTTTGAAGGTGATAGTGTTAGAAGAGTTATTCAAACAATTTCAGGTTTTCAATCTCTAAGAGATTATGTAGATAAATCTAGTCTATTCAACTGCTATATAGTTATGGCCTTCAGAGGAGAAAGAGAAAAATCTAAGGTGTCAGATATATTTACTAGATGTGGGGGGGAAAACCCACTTCTTTTGATTTCCAAATAGTCACAGAGTAAAATTTTCAAAACTTCTTACATGACTGAAATTGAAAGTCAGTGAGATTTAAATTCACTTAGGTACTTCTGAAAGTGTTATTCATAGAACTGCGGATCCACACGAAAACCAAATAACTCTGGCAGTAGCAGAAGTAGGTACTGGAAAAGGAACAAAAATTGTAAGTGGATATTAATTAGTGCAATATGGTGTAGTGGGGGGAGGGGGTAGTGATTAGAAGAGAACACTGGTCATTTGGGTTCTTGTAATTTTGCCTAGTTCTATCACGTGGATTGATGTGTGATCTTGAACATGTCTAGTTAGATTGCAGGCTCTCCAGGGCAAGGATCGTGAATTCCTATTTGTTCATATAGCAGGAGTGCACTGTGGGTGTTAATGAAAGCAAATGATTAATAATAATAATAAAGGACTAATATGACAGATGCTATTGATTGTCACTTGTGTAGGAGAAACTGCAACCCACTGCTACAGATTATGCTCTAACATTGCCATTTGAAATACTGAAATCAACATTTAATAATTGTCATTTATTAGAAACTCATCAAAATGCAAAGTCCCACTGATTCAAAATGTTAGAATATTACAATACACAGAAATGCAGCACAATCACATTGGAAAACGTAAGTGCCACTAAGAATGTGAATGCAAATGTATACATTTTGCCTTGAAATGGCAATCAACATGTTTTTTCTTATTACCCCCCCTTCATTCCCCATTATTCTGGCATTCCTGGGTATCCATGCATTTTTCTAACCTTCAGAATGCTATAGCAAAATTATAAGTCACCTACGATGCCAATGATTCTGAGAGGTAATCCGAATGGACAGGCTGGAGTGGTGCATTTTCTACTCAGTAAAGATGAAGAATAGCACATGGGTATTCAGCAAGCAGTACTGCCCATCTCATCTGCTCTCTGTCATTTAAACAAGGAGAACACCCTTGGATTCCAGTGAAGTTCACTGCTCCACTACAGCCTCATTCATTGCTATTCACCTGGTTTCTGGAAGGGGTGTATTTCATCAGATCCTACCTGAATTCAAAGAATTGCTTCTTGTTCTAAACTTGTTCACCTTAGCCTCTAAGGACAGAACAAGAAGCAATGGGCTTAAACTGCAGCAAGGGAGGTCTACGTTGGACATTAGGAAAAAGTTCCTAACTGTCAGGGTGGTTAAACACTGGAATAAATTGCCTAGGGAGGTTGTGGAATCTCCATCTCTGGAGATAGTTAAGAGGAGGTTAGATAAATGTCTATCAAGGATGGTCTAGACAGTATTTGGTCCTGCCATGCGGGCAGGGGACTGGACTCGATGACTTCTCGAGGTCCCTTCCAGTCCTAGAATCTATGAATCTATGAAAGACTGTGGCTGCTGTTCCACAGTGGCTGGGCCATTGCTGGCTACTTTATCTCTTGGAAGTAATTCATCCATTCACAACTTCTGTGAGAATAACGGTTTGTTGCACCCAAAGCACTGCAGCCCCAGCTGTATTTCCAGGAAAGGGATATATTTCTTCAATCCTTCCCCATCCCTGATTTAAGTGCAGAGTATCGCTTGCACTGTTTGGAGGGCGTGGGTGGAAAAGAGGAGGAGACAGGCAATACGGTGGGTTGGTATTTTCTGGTAGATTCATCGTTGGGGATGTGAAATGAGAGGGATTTGGTACTGGGATACTTGTGAGGCCAACAATTTTGTGGGTGTGGGAAGGGGGTCTTATTCTATTGGCTTCCCTCCTTCAATGCCTCTTTTCCAGAGCTTTCAGCTTTGTTTGGAGTCTCCAGCAAAACACAGGTGGCAGAAAGCCATATTTAGGACCATCGCCACCACCACGACAGGAGTCAGAGATTTGTTGGAGCCAGCGGAGGTGGGTCCCTTAGGACCAGGGTTCTGATGGGACTAATCATTCCATTCTATAATGTTTAGGCAGAGTGGGCATCTCCGGGGGGCAAGAGTGTCTGAGTGTGAGGGCAGTGGTGGGGATTACTGAGGCTCTTCCTAATTTTATTAATCAGGACCAAACTAGACAATTTCATGAGTGGGTTGGGTTTATAGGGCACCTGGCCACTCAGCGTGTGGAGAGAGATCCAGGTATGGTTTGGGAACCATCAGGAAAGGTGGCTGATTCTTTTTTAATATCCTGGATTTCTTCTCTCCCTGGCTAGGGACACTTAGAGATAATAAATGGGATTTACACTTTGTCCTGGGAGTCTTTTCCTGGGCAGGCTGCTGTTCCCCTGCAATAGATACTGGAAGGTGACTGAGCAGGTGGAGTAATGCTGCTAGGAGATAAGGTCACAGCAGACCAAAGAGATCTGTCTGGGTGCTTGAAATTTCTGGCATAGAGAGACTAGGCAATTAGAGAGACTCGGCAATTAGAGCTCTTCCAGACACAGGCCAAGTAGTCTACATTTATTAGTCCCATGGGTTTGTCATCCTGGTAGTTCCATGATGTCCACTGTGGGGTCACTGGTTAATAAAGTCACAACCACTCCTTTAAGTACAGAGTTTGTTTGTCTCAGCCAGAACTGGATGGATGATTTGCTAGCTCAGCTTTCCCAAGGCAGGTACTCCGGTCAGTAGGAACCGAGAGAAAGCTGGAGGGGTGCCCCTAGCTGTGTTGCATTCCTATTTATTGAGGGGTCGTGCCCTGCCTTTGTTACGGCAGTTTGCAAACAGAGTGGTTTTCGTTCCTCAATGGCTCCACAGGCAGCACTGGTGCCCAGCATGGTTTTCCATCTGCTTCATAATTAAACCTCTCTCTCCAAGGTGGCCATCCACACCATCGCGACCTTCTGACTACTGCCATGAGATTTCCTCAGGTCTGGCCGGGCCAGCTACTCTAACGTCTGCTGCTGCAGAATGCAGTTGCCCACCTGCTCATCAGCATCAACAATGGGGAATATATAATATCTGCAATAGCTACCTATTCACTTCCCGGTGCAATTCAAGCTATTGGCATTGTTTTATAAAGCTCTATATGATTTGAATCCTGACTACCTGGAAACTGCCTCTGTCTCAATTCACTGATCCTTTCATTCAGTTCTACATAAAATCTCTATACAATACAATCTACAAGTACATATTCACCTATACACAATGATTATTCCAGAAGAAAAAGGTGATATGTCAAACCATAAGCTTAAACTTCTATATAAAACAAAAAGCAAAAAAAAAGGCCATTAACTTTATATTTGCAACTGCTAGTCAGTTATCATTGCTAGCCTACAAGCAGGAAACTTACCAAAGTAGCTTTCGATTGGCTGGTTAAACAGCTGGACGGATTAGACAGATGTGATGGGAAAGTCTTCCTTCTGTGAAATAATAAAACAGATCAATAAGGCTGGTGCCATCTACTGAAATCTCCTATTGAAGAAACATCCCTTTGAAAGTCCAGAAATGTATGGTATCAAGAGAAACATTTAAAAACAAGCTTTGGTTATGCCTTTGTTAAATCATGGGAAAGTATTAGCTATATGTCTCTTAATGGAAAAGAGACAAATCACAACGGATAGCGTTAGAAGCTATGGATCACACACACCATTTCCCACTGCATTGGGCCAGGATAGATTTCAACATAAGTAAAGCATCCTAAATAATTAATAAAGATCAGAAAGCAGCACTTGAATAACACTGCCATATTTGTAGTCTTTCCAGAATAAATGTTAGCTGACTTTAATTGTAGAAGTTGCCTCATCACAACGGTGCTGAGAATTTCCCCCCATAAATGAAAATTAACTTTTCCTATGAAAAGGGACTGTACAATAATTAGCAAGTCTGTCCATGCCAATAAACGGTTCCTCAATCAGGGACCTAACAACCCTTCGGTAACAGATGCTGGCATCATTGGTACCCACATCCGACCCGCATCTGCCCATGCTCTAGAGGCAGCAAAATCAGCCTCTTGAGAATTTGGGGCACTGAATGTAAGGAGGAGTAAAGGAGGAGAAATCTTGGGTAATCTTTTCCAGGGGTTTGGAGCGGAACCCGGAGCTGGAGCGCGGAGCAGCTCCAGAGCAGTGGAGTTGCAGGTTTTTGCCTGGAGCTGGAGCGGAGCCGGAGCACCGCTCCAAAGCCTTGATTTCCTCATCCCCTGGAAAACAAAAAACTAAGCTCCAACTTTTCAGTAGAAAAAACTGCAACCACCTTTGCCCCTCCCCCCAGCTTTCTGGGAAGGTGGACAATATAAATGATAATTTTTGAAGAGTTATAAAAACATAAAAGACATATATATTATATACATTATGCTCCAGGACATAAGCACATTTTTAACAATACTTCTAAATAATTCACTTTAACAATGAGTGATATGGAGGCCTAGCCATGCCCATATGGTGCTAATTGCAATCGGATGCCCAGATAAACCAAGAGGCTATTTTGTGGCCAGCAAATGGGAATTGCGGCACTTGGTGTGTGCGTGCTTGTGGTTAACTACATCATCATAAATTAAAAGTGTGTTATTGATTTAACCAACCATGGTGGACCACTAGTATCAGGCATCTGCCTGCTGCAGTGAAACTTAATTTATGTGTCTTCCTTTTGTAAAATAGGGATTTTAAGTTTAAGCATCTACAAAACTTCACTAATGCATACAATAGTATGCTGAATGCTGCTGATTCTAATACACATGCCAGTACTGAAGTAATGTAAGGAATGGTTTGTGATCATGGAACTATTTTTGGGCCTTACAAACTGCTACTGTACATACTAATCATTTGCTAATTGGTAGAAATGTATGGCTATTTGTAAATTTCATTATTATGCATTTAAGCATTTAATATCGGATATGGATTATTTATATATATGAAGCATTTTGAAAGTCTCTATAGTAGGAATTGTGCAAAAACGTGTTAATGGTACCGTTCAATTAAAAAAACCTTGCTGGTTTAACTGAGGACAAAAATTGTCAGACAAGATTAATAACTGAGATGCCAAGTACTGCATGGCATAGTTATTTCAGTTTATACTGCGTGCTTTCTGCATACAGCTGTAAGTTCCTACACAATGCCTAAGTAAATGGACAGAAGGACTAAGAAAAATAAGCAGGGGTTGGGCTGAATGCAATTCACCCATATTTCAACCTGAGGACAGGCCACCTTCCATGGTCACTAATCAAGCCTACAGACTAGAATAACAGATAGACCCTCTTCACACACATACCCCCGCACCATATGTAGGGACACTCGATTTCAACAAGGCACTTCCCCCCAACACCAGCCTGTCTCCAACTGCCATCCTAAAATTTGGAGCCACACAGCAGGGTGAGTAGAGGTTCAACTGCTTGGCAACTTCTCCCTCCGACCTCCCTGAACAGGGTTAGAGTTAGCATTAGGTGACACCCTCTGTACTCTGCTACTCTGAAACTCACCTTAACTGATCACTCTCGTTATAGTGTGTATGGTAACACCCATTGTTTCATGTTCTCTGTGTGTATATATCTATCTTCCTACTGTATTTTCCACTGCATGCATCCGATGAAGTGGGTTTTTGCCCACGAAAGCTTATGCCCAAATAAATTTGTTAGTCTCTAAGGTGCCACAAGTACTCCTGTTCCTCTGTACTCAGTGAATTTCACTCCTGAGACCTCAGACAAAGAAATGTTTAGATACATATCCAGGATCTTCTCGCTTACAAATGAATGACGGTGCTATTAATTGAGTAGGAATGATTGTAAACACGCATTTCCTACCTCTTCTGAATACTTGAGTATTAAATTGTAAAAGAAAATAAACAGAGAAAGTAAATGGAGAGATGCTTAGGTTTCCGAACCACCAAAGACAACATTAAAATCTGTCCATGGTCTCCACTGTAACTTGTCAGCTGTACAGTATGCTGCAAACGGAAATATATTGTTACTAAGCAAACTACGGGAGGAATTTTTCAGTGGAAAGACTGCAGCGAAATTCCAGGCAGAGCAGTAAGGCGATTTCTGTAATGATGTGAACATACAATATTGGGATGATTGACTATTTTGGAAGATTAATATGAAAGACACCATTAATCATAGCTGTGCTGGTACTGGATTTTTATTTTTTTTTAACACATTCTTGAAAAATTCTTACAGATCCTGAGAGTTTTCATATGGCCAAAGTGTTTCTAGCCAGGAGAAGTTATAATATACTGGACTTTAAATCACTTTTTAAACCATCTTATCCCTCTCTCCCTCCATCCCACACACACTTTAGTTGTAATCTGATGTTAGCAGCTGTCATTTCACAAACTGCTGGAGGTAGGGATTAATGCCTTATAGCAGTGGTCTCCAAACTTTTTGATCGCGCACCCCTATCAGTAAAAATTTTTTGAGCACACACCCCCTGCCGTGCCGCAGGACCGGCGCTACCATTTTTGCCGCCCAAAAAAAAAAAAAAAAAAAAAAGCGCTCGGACTCCTGCCCGAACTGCCGAAGCAAAAAAAAAAAAAACCGTCCGAACTGCCGAAGCAATGCTGCTCCGGCGGCGCTCCTCCTGCCGCGCACCCCAAAGGATCCTCTTGCGCACCCCACTTTGGAGACCACTGCCTTATAGTATTTAAAAACTGGGATTTCAAAATGCCTTTTAGCAGTAAAAGAATCAATTTCTAAAGAGGTTCACAACAGCAGTTATAAAAAATCATGTCCAAATTGAAGTGAAGAAGAAAGATGGTATTTAAAACAACTACATTTTATTGCCCAGTATCTGGCTACCTGCCAAGACTAGAGATGAATATGGTGTGCTGATGGAAATCTAAAAATCCTAGCCATTTGCTGGATATTGGATCTTGCAATTCCCACTGGTCCCTTGGCATGGCTCAGATTTATTGCTATTGGTCCAGAAGTGATGTACAAACTCCTGGACCAAAGGCTAGTTTACTGTTAAATCTCTAGGGTGAAATTCTGGCTTAACTAAAGTCAATAGCAAAACTCCCATTGACTTCAATGGGGTCAGAATTTATGGCCTAGTATTTAAATTCAACATGCAATTTCATCCTAACCAGTAACAACATGATAAGTTTGCATTCTTCACACACAGCTACTTTCTAGACCAGGGATAGGCAACCTATGGCACGTGCGCCGAAGGCAGCACGCAAGCTGATTTTCAGTGGCACTCACACTGCCCGGGTCCTGGCCACCGGTTCGGGGGACTCTGCATTTTAATTTAATTTTAAATGAAGCTTCTTAAACATTTTAAAAACCTTATTTACTTTACATACAACAATAGTTTAGTTATATATTACAGACTTTTAGAAAGAGACCTTCTAAAAACGTTAAAATGTATTACTGGCACGCAAAACCTTAAATTAGAGTGAATAAATGAAGACTCGGCACACCACTTCTGAAAGGTTGCCGACCCCTGGTCTAGACTGACTGGCTTCACTTTTCTTAGCACGTTAACTCTTTGGGCCAGCAGTTGTCTCTTACTTGGTGTTTGTATAAAGCCTGCACAGTGGAGACCTGGATCCTGGTTGGTACTTCCGGATGCCCACTGTCAGTAATCCCATTATTCTTCAACTAAACACAGAGGTTTGCTATAGCATCTCCCTGAACACAGCAACCTGATGGAGATTATCTGGCTGTGTTTGAGAATGCTCTATGTTCTTCCCCCACAACACACACACCTTCTTTTAGCCTGTCATAATCCAGGAATTATCCATGCAACAAGTCTCCAGCTGCAAGATGGATCACATTCCATGTAATCACAGAATTTACATGCTGCTTCCTGGCCCAGAAGACTGATTTCTAATCAGCAGAGTACACCGTTTTCAAGAGGAAAGAGCTAAATGAACTGACCCAGAGGTGGGCACGCCATTAGTACCGTCCTGCGGAGAAGAGAGGAGACCCATAAAACTCCCCCCTCTCAAAGCAGAGTGAGCTCGCAAGAGCTTCCAACCACTGAGAGAGAGAGAGCTGTGGGATAAGGGTGCACATTTTGTCAGATCTTTTTTTAAAAATAGATTTCATATCTTAAAACTTAAATCCTGGTCTAACAGAAGATAGGGTAAGGGTCACCAGTGGAGAGATGGCTAAAGGGAGTCACTTCTGATTTAAAGGAAGAGAGTGCTTTGGTTGCCTGGCAGTTGAAGTTTGTGCTGACTGCCTCAAAAGAGCAGCATTCGGTGCATTACCTGAAAACTCCTCTTTTCCTTTACCCCCCATCCCATCCAGCCCTGCCACAGATTGTCATTCATGATGTCATATCAATCATGAGATTCCTTTGGAGCATGGCACCAGTGAAGAGGGGAACGCGTAAATGAGATGGTTAGTGGCTAGCTCAGTTTTGCTTTTTGCAATTTGGTTTGAAACCCCCTTCCTCCCCCCAACGTTTGACCATTTATTATT